ACTGATTGTGAAATTACTGTGTACTAAAAGTTTGTATCGAGAAAGAATAAACTGGGTTAATCAAGAACGGACTTGTATCGCTGATTTTCTTCGGAAAGAATTTATACCGGAAATTAACAAACAAGCAGATACGTAACAATATATATGTGTGTGTGTGTGCACACTTACAGGGAGATGCTAACCTAATTATTTTGTGTTATAAAATATTTTTGTATGTTTTTTTAAGGTCCTGTTGTGGAGTTTGGGACAGTTTTAATAAGTTCTTGTAGTAAGAGTTGCTGGAAAGAAGGGGATGTGATGAAGGAAGAGTTTGTTTTTGTTCAAGCTGATCCAGATGAAAAACTTTTGGCTGCATTTGGAAAATGATCCTTAACCAGTTAGTTTTATTACTTTGCTTCTATGTTTTTTCATGCTGACATCATTTTTAAGATAAATCTCCTAATAATATTAAAGAATGTATGAACTTTTGTTCAAGTAGATTTTAGGTTATCCTATATGAGTATTTGTATATTTCCAGGTCGAGATTATGTAACTGACATATTAAAGATATCAGAGTAGCCCTTATTAACATAGTTCTACTTACTGTATCATAGGCTAATAAGCTTTCAAATGTTATTTATCAGATGAACAAAAGTTAATTAACCCTTTGAATAAGGGTGGGTCAAAGTGTGCAGGTCATGACTTTTTTTACATAGTTACCTTCAAACTTTAATTAAGCTTCTTTATTATTAATGTTTGTCAGTAAACTTGACATCAAAACCTGGTTAATAAATCAAACTTTAATATTATATAAGTTTTAAGTTCTTAATTTTAAAAGGAAATATTTAAATAAATTCTCAATCTAAACTTGTCTATATCATGTGACACTTGTTCGCTCTTAATTGACCATTTCCAGTTTTCTCATCACCCTGATATGCTATCCTGAGCTTAACATATATTAAACATATACTTAATATGTTACTATGGCATAGTATAATTTTATAATCTTTATACTTCTTGGTTTATGGAGATATAAACCAGAAAATCAAACCTACTGGCCACTCGCTCCTATCACCTCCAATAGAAAGAAGATTTTGATTTACTGATTTCCGTATAAGGTTAACGCATTCTGACAGTAGTGTTAAATTTTTTTGCATACAGGTTCATTATCTCTGAGTTCACATTAACCAGGTAAATGAATTATTTTAAAGCACTTATACCTTAGTTAGAAAGCTAGCTAAATTATAATAGTTATAGAACATTGTATAGGTTATTGTTTTATGTTCATAATTGCATACTTGAAATGAATAAATATTTTGTTTTACTATCATGTTACAAAAAAGCAGGGTTAAGTTTCATTGGGGTCCAAGAACAAAAAAATAGGAGGCCAAATGTAAATAGTAAATTTCATTTTTTTATGTATACTTTTTATTGTTATAAAAGTAACTAAAATGCCAAAATTAGAAACTTAGACAAAAAAGTTCAATTTCTGGTGAGGTCTGGATGCATCTGTGTTACATAATTCAACACTGTAGCTTGAGCTACATGTTCACCATTTTTTATACAGCTTGTTAGATGAATTTAGTAATTAGACATGACTGAAAGAGCAATAAAACAATAAAAGTAAATAAGAATATATATAAACTATTATGACTTGAGGCTATTTAGGATAAATAACTGTAATTTTCTGTCACAACCTGGAGTCATTATAGAAAGAAAGGGTAAGTTAGATTTTTTTTTTGTGTGTGTGTGGTAACAAGTCCATACAGTATTAAAGTAAAGAAAGTAACAGATAAGATATTAAGTTTTACTGATAAAAACTTCCAGTATTCATTGAGGAGGTTCTAGAGGTTATGCAAACCAAATTTTAAAACTGTACAATGGGGAAAAGTTTTTTTAATCTTAACATGAAAATCACCTTGCATTTATGCTAATTATAGACTGTGTCATTCGGACTCCATAACTTCATAGACAAATCTTTAGTAAAATACTGAACTGTAAAATCAGATTTTTTGGGTACAAAATACTTGTAACATTTACTAAAAGCTTACTGGATTTCATGAAGATATGCTTACTACATTAAAAGGTGCAGTATGTGTACTTCATGGTTACTTGGAGGTTGCAAGGTCAGGGAAAATGACCAAATCCATATACAGAAAGTTAAGTAATAGATAACTCAGCTAGTGAGACATAGCAATCAGCAAAAAATATACTTCTAAAGTTAAAAAAAAAAATTTTTAGGGTACATTATATAGGTCAAATAACAGTCATCAGTATTTGGTTTGTTAATTATTTTATAGATGGCTAGATGATTGCAGTTTCAGTTAATATGATTGTCAAAACTGACAGTAGTAGTTTACTTATATTGTGTACTTGTATCATATATATATATATATATATATATATATATATTATTTCTCTTAGT